AAATGCAAAAAGGACCCCAATTTTATTGAAAGGACAGTATTGCTATTCTAGGCCAACAGAAAAACTAGAAACGTGTTCACCCTCAACCTCAGCTCTGTCTTCGGATTTCCCTCTTTTTTCCACACGTTAATCCATGATTTTCCATGCTTGAATTACCTCTATGGTAATGAACAACCTGCAATCAGCCAGATCACATGCTGAATATAAAGTGTGAATTCTGAGTACGGGAGTGCTTAGGGCCTAACCAGTCCAGCAGTTAACAAGAACCTGGGTAAGATAAGCATGGTTTGCTTTGGGCTGTGAGCTCTGGGCTGCTCAGGGTTAATAGCCCATAGTTAAACCATGATTTGACTATATAATAGTCTGGATTGTTAATACGTGCAAACCGGGTCTTGTGGAAGCGGTTACATGCCTGCTCTCTCCTGCCCATGCACAACCAGTTTTAAGTTATTTACTACTATTTTTTATTTTTATTTTTCGATTTCTATTCTGCCTTTTTCCTACAAAGGGCTCAAGGCAGCTTACATCTCCTCCTCCATCCTAGCCCCCCAACAACAACCCTGTGAGGTAGGCTGGGCTGAGAGTCTGTGACTGGCCCAAAGGCACCCAGTGGGCTCCATGGCTAAGCGGGGACTCGAACGCAGATCGCCTGAGTCCCAGTCCCATGCCCGTATCCACACCACCACACTGGCTCTCACTACGTGCACACAAGGTCTTTTGTGCTCAGCTCACACTGCTAAACTCTGCCCCCAAAGCACTACAAGCATGATGTGGAAGCCAGTGGTGATGTCCTACAACTTCACATCTCTAGTCTTCTAGGAAGGATAAAATTTTGCAACTGGCAAGCTGAGCAAAGAAATACAGAGGAGAGTCAGCCGCAATGACAAATGAGTTTTATTTTCAAGCGTAAGCGCTTAATAATGAATATAGTCTGGGTCATTGCATTTTCCTCAATCTGGTTTAGCTGTTATTTATTTAATAAGTGCTTTAGTTTACACACCCACTTCCCATTTTAAAAATCCCAAAGTAGTTCACAGTGTCTTTCAAAATGTGTAATTAAAAGCATAACAAAATGTAGATGCACTGAAGGTTGGGAAAGGCCCAGGCAAATGAGCAAGCCTTTAGTAAGGATAAAAAGCTTGCTCAACTGCAGAGGCAAAGTCCATTCTGAGGGAGGGTGCTGCCCCAGCAAAGACCCGTGGCCATCCTGCTGCCAACCACACCATCATGAAAGTGCATCTCTTTAAAGCAGTGGTGGCCAAGGTGCAGGCAGTTTAATGGATGGTCCACTAAGGAATCGTTCCATCTCAGCCCTTTCCCACCACCTTGCCATCAAGGGGCACTTGTCAAAAGGTAAAGACACCTGGATTATCTCTTTGGAATACAATCTCCCTGGCTTAGCTGGCTTTTTGTTTGCATGGGTGGTACTTTCTATCCCCCCCCCATGAAATGTGCAGGAGAGCTTTCCCTCTCGAAAACAAATGCCACCCCCCTGCTTTCCCTCCATACACCACTATTTATAAATATAACATTATATTTATACACTATTTATAAGGTGTCCTTGGGAAGCAGGGTCCTTTACAGATTGTAGCACATATGTGCTTTAGTATATTTTGGGGGGTAGGTCTGAACTTTTCAGTACCTCACACTGCCGGGGGCCAGGGATTACACTGCCAAGATTATATGTTCAATGATTTGTGGAAAAACTCAAACAAAGGCCTTTTTCAGCAGGAAGAAGTAATAACGTTCTAACATGGGCAGTGGTGTTTAAGCTTTGCAGTCTAACAACTAGGATATATTCTTGTATCACTGGGGCAAAAACAGAGCTTTCTTCAAGACTCCTGTTCAACAGGTTTTACTGCCTGGAAATTCACTCAGAGTAGCATGAAGTATTAAGGACATATTTTGTTCTACAGCAAATATAACAAAGTATGCATTTATGAATTAACAGATGCACAAAATTTAGGCGTAGTTGCGGGAGCCGCCTGTGGAGTCCTGGGAGGGCTCAAGCTAGTTTTCTTGGCTGTGTGGCTAATGCTCAAGAGAAAAGAGAAGAAGAAATATGAAGAAGAAGAGACTCCAAACGAAATCAGGTAATTATCTCAAGAGCAACCCCTTTACTTCTCCACAGTCATGCCCAGTGCAAATCAGCACCGTGTTTCCTTTCTCTGTCACAAAAGAGACTCGCGAGTATCTGAACACGTACAGCAATGAAGCACCTACTTTATGTGTGCCTCCTTTTAAAAGGAGCTCAGATTGCAAGACTGGGGTAAAAACACACCTTAGGATCCTGGGAACCCGCTGCAAGTTGGAGGCGGTTGTACCAAGTCAGTCACCTCCAAAACAACATGGCACATGAAAGATGAAGAAATCTGGGTTGCAAGAGGCATCCACTCATTGTGGTAAGAGGAGGAGATGTGGTGGAGATATCTCTACCTCCCTCCACCCTGCATTTTTACTGCTGGTCTATTTTGCCCATCTAACTAGAACAGATCTGAGGAACATGGAAGGAGGCTGGAGAGGGATCATGGATCCTGGCCTCTAGTCCTCCTCCTCCCTGTGAAGCCCCGCTTTCCCCAAGGTTGCTTTCTGACCATGGCATGAGCAGCAGAGAGACGAGGGATGGGTGCTGGAGCACGGATGTCTCTGAAATCAGAACTGCAGGTCTTGACTATCCTGGGGACCCCCAAACTTGGTCTAGTTGCCCCCTTTGTAGAGAATTTGTGCATGGATTAGCCTCTGCATGGTGTTTTCCTCAATCAGTGGATATACACTAATGCAGAGGAGGGAATGTAGATACGGTCGGGTGGAACTGAAAAGCAAAACGCTGCCTGTGAATATGTACGCCTCAGTTTAAACAAATGCAGTTGATGACAGCCTCAGATACAGCCATCTTTTCCAGCTCCTGCAACATGTGTTACCAGGAATTCGATATGGAAAGGGAATGGCTTTCACCAGTACAGCCGTGCATCTCATTCCCCTGCTTGGTTTTCATTCACATCACTGCTATGTTACGGCCTCTTAAAGTTTGTTCCTCTACCTATTTAAGCACTAGGTAGAGAAATAGAAGTGTGTGGTCCTATTTATTGTACCCTCACTTGATTGGCCCATGTGGGTTGGGGATAAGAAACTACCATGACTTCTTTTTCCCTGTGTGAGACTGTGTGAGCATGGCCAGTATCTTTGCTCTCCTCCTCCCCCTCCCACCCCATACAGACCTTCTCTTTTATATGCAAAAGGATTATATCTCAATTTTCCAGAGCCAAAGTAGGATTTCTTTCACTATTCTGGAAGAGTAAATCACCAGGATGCCTGGGAGGAGCATGCTTTCCAAAACCAGTTCAACGCACGCACAATGACTGCATTCCGTGAGCGTGCAGCTCCCTGTATGCTGGCACAGAAGCCCTTCCTAACTCCACATTGCCAGAACTTTCTTTGCAGGGCATTTACAGGAAGTCCCTGAAAGATGATTCAGCAGGCTACACCCTTTGGGACTCAAAACGAAACCCAGGTGCTTCCTTTACTTCATCTCAAGATCACCTCCTCTCACGAGCTATCAGTTTATTCCCTTTGCAATCATAAAGCTGATCTTTTAACCCTATGACCAATCATTAGAAACCTTGTGATTAAACCAGTTCTTTTTCAGAAGCCTCAGCTCCAAGAGGCAGTCTTTTCATGTGTCACTCATCTATATTTTTCCTGTTCTTTACTTGGTCTCCTTGGAAACCTTTATTTTACATCACTGTCACTTCCCATACCCAAAAGGCACGAAACATATTAGAAGACTTGATAAAGGAAAAGTTTGGGGAGTAAGAATGGGATAGGACAGCAGCACGCAAGCTGCCACAAATCTTTGCTACAGAAGGATGAGATTAATGAAAGGAAGCCATGTGAATGGTTGAAGGAAGCAAGAACATCTCTCAAGGCAGAAAGGTTCTCACTGTAGTTGCAGGAACACATATGGAGAAATCCAGCCCTCCTGCATGAGCAGCTTTATAAGGGGATCAGACAAGTTCATAAAGGTTACGACTATTACCTGTGTATTAACTGGAGAAGCAGAATGCCCCTGAATGTTAATAGCTATGGGGGAAGGGATGCTAATAGCCCACCCCACCTGCTTGGGGCCTGCCCCTAGGCATCGTTAGCCACTGCGGGAACAAAAGGGCAATCTAGCATGGGCTTGATCCAGCCAGACCCTTCCTACGTTCTGATTTGGATGCCCTTGGAAATTTATTTTCTCCCTCAAAGAAAAGCAGGATATAATGTGAAATCGTGTGTGCAGCCTTGTAGATGCATCTGGCAATTGTGGAAACTGGTGTAGCAGCCACCACAAAGCAGCTAGTATGGGAGGTATGGAGAGTGGCTGAGGACATTGCCTGGCCAAACAACTATATACGAGAGAGAACAAGGGAGGGAGGGAGAGCGGATCTGGGGAAGATCAAACCCATGTGCGGTGCTTTATACCAATGCCCATGGCATGTAGCAGGAGCTAAAAACCATCTGGGGGAAACAAGGCTGCCTGCAGCCACCACTTTGCCTACATGGTATGAACAAAGAAGAACTAGGCAACCGCAGCATGATCTCAGCAACATGATGTAAACCTGATTGACTCAACATGTTTAAAGACGCTGTGATGATGGAAAGTACTCTGTAACCCAGTTTCCAGCTGCAGGAGGTGCTTCATGCTCCACAGCTGACTCAGCCAAATTAGCAAGGGTCAGAGCACATGCCAAGGCCTGACTTATTTTCACAGCATCCCACCTTCCCTTGCTCAGCATTTGTTTTGTTACTGGATCCTTCATGGCAGAATCAAGTGTGCGGGGAAAACCACACCACCCTTGCAAAGCCAGAAACCTAAAAAACATGTTCTAAGCAGTGCCCAGGATGATTTTATCGGATACCGAACAGTCCCACCCAATGGCCACAATCATCATCATTATAGAATAATTATATACTGTTTCTCATTTGAAATTTATAAAGTTATAAAATAGCAAGTAAGATGAAGACAAAACACGCAACACACAAAATACCATGAGGTTGCAACATAGGCAGATCATGGACAGGGAAAAGCTGCTGCTAACATTATTTTCAATAAATGCCCAAAACACAAAGGTGTTGTTGCCCGAGAACCATCAGAAAGGATAGCATTTCACAAGACAGGTGCCACCACAGAAAAGGCCCTGCCTGCATGTCACCATCAAACAGAAATGTGGCCATTCCACTGAACAAGGCCTCCTCTTGAAGACAATAATGCCCTGGGAGGGTGACATAGGCAAAAATATTCCCTGGGATCTCCTGTGCCTGAGTTCATAAAGCTTTGCATACTAATACCTACACTTTAACTCAGTGCAGATCTGTTAACACAAGTGCGTATGAGGGGTAGGAATATGCTCCTTATCACACATCATGGAGAAAAGCCACACCATGAATTCAGCTGAACATCTGACAAACATTCCAGAACTATCTCAAAAGCACCTTCAAATCTATGATGCACGAATGGTTCTGGTCCTCATTATCTGATACCTTTAATCATTTCGCCTCTTTTGATTACAGAGAGGATGCAGAGGCACCAAAGGCCCGATTGGTCAAGCCCAGCTCTTCCTCTTCTGGCTCCAGAAGTTCACATTCTGGTTCCTCCTCAACCAGATCGACAGCAAACAGTGCCTCCCGCAGCCAACAGACATTGTCAACAGAGGCTACTTCTCACATCACTCCGGCTCAGCACAACCAGGTGGAGCTGGATGGTCGGGAAACTGAGCCAAAGAAAATGAACCACACCGGTGCAATGAAAACAGAGGCCACTCCAGCCATGGTGCCTGCTCAGAGTCGGGCTTTCCAGACGGTTTGATTGCGCCCCATCTATCCAGCTCTAGCTGTGTCCATAACTCACACATACCACCAGCATTTTAATTAGATTAGCTTGATCCACTACACAACAAACCCTCACTCAGTATTTTCGGCACATTTCTATTCTGAGGTACAGATACAGACTTGAAAAAATAACTCACATTGACTTGTTTTTGTAAACTTTTTATTTTTTGTGATTCACTCTCAGAAGGAAAAAAAAGGGGAGTATTGCATTTAACAGGTGTACCATGCTGGAACCCTGAACCTCTTTTTAAAGGAAGCACAAAAGGTATAATATTCCAACTGAAGCGTAGGAAAAAGATCTGTACAGTTCATGTACACATGAATTAGCTTCTCAACTGCAGCACGCTTTCACAGATGAAGGTATCTGATCAACTTCAAAAGACAACTGAGAGATGTTTTGCTTGTACCCTTTTGCTGCATTACCAACAGAAAGAAGCTACACCAACAGAACAAAAAGTAATAATGTGGAAAAAAACCTGAGAAGCGGCACTGGATTCTGAATTGCTCTGTTCACTGGAGGGACCTCCTCTGAACATGGAAGTGCATTAATTTTAGAAGGTATGTATGGCTGAAGGAATACAGACATTAGTCTACTGTGACCAAGCTCAATTCTCTTCTTATTTGTGTAAATCAGAAACAATTCCACCAAATTCAAGGGAATTATATCCTAATGGAAAATTAGAACGTGAGATCACAATCAAATCCCAAATTCCCCTTGCAGGTTTAAAAGGGTGTCTCAAACAGTAACTTAAAGCAAAACAAAACAAAAATGGCACTTGACTAATATTAAAGTCCCTGGAAGAAGTATGTTTCGCTTCTCTACACTGGAAACAATGAAATCCATTTTTATGATTAATATTGCCAAAGCTGCTGCTTTGTTTAAAAGTCCAAATGTTAAAGGCAACACCCAATGAAAGAATTTTTACACAAGACAAACAAAACCGTGGAATCCAATAGCTGGTTTTAACATAGAAAAACACATCCAAAAATACCACTAGCATCATATTATTAAAGAAATAACAGTGTAATTTATCTGTAGCTGGTTGTTTTTAAGCAGTTATGCCGTGGGAATTATTTCATCATGTTAGCACCAAGACAGTGGAAGAATCACTAGCCTGATTCAGTACAAATACGATTCCCAAATGTTTGCTTAAGATTTATCAGTTGATCATGTATTGGCAGTATGTTGGCAGTGACTGTTGGAGGTAAGGAAGGAAAAATGCTTTCTCAAAGGAATCCATTGCTAAGCTTCTTTTCAAGCAAAGAAAATACACTGAAGGTCTCCTGGGTGAAATAGTTGAAGAATGATCAAAACTGGGCCTTTCAGTGTACCTAAGAGCACAATTCCGTATATGTTGACTTATATGTTTAACTGTGTTCAACGGGCTTACTCCTGGTAAGGTTGCTTCAGCAGTTTGTGTTTGTTTCCCCATTCTCAGCCAAGGAGATTCCCTTTCCCTTCATGGAAATTAATACCAGTAATGTGATTTCTATTTGCCATTCTTTATAGTATACATGAATCAGCAGATTCTTAACATGGAGAACGTCAAACACAGGATTTATGGACCACTAAGACTTGATCATTGCACTGGATTGAATTGACCATACAGAACATAGCAGGGAGGTCACAGATTGAGAATTAACCCAATCTGTTACCACCAACTAAATGCTAGATAATGTATATAGACATAAGTACAAAACCAGTTAATTGAATTACAGAATATCCAAATGGACTGAGATTTAAGTAGCCTCCACATGTTTTGAGCCTTCACTTGATACTAAATTCACAGGCCCAAACTTGCCATTCTAAATGGTGGGGAACAAGCTTTGAATTCTACTGTTCCAAAGAATCACATATAACATTGTAAGTGAATGTCAAGTATATTTCACAGAAACTAAGGAGGAAAAAGTGAATTTTCTAAATTAAGGTGAAAGATAATATCTCAGATCACCATGCATCTCACTTTCAAAGGGAATGTTAAGTCTGGTGATTTCTGAAGTAAACATGGTACTAAACACTTTTAAAAGGGAAGCAACACTCATGTTATGAAAAGCCAAACATTATTTTGTAAAATATTCTATTTAAAGCATTTACTGTTATCCTGTATAAAAATACTATTTAGTGTTGTTGCATAAATCTTCTCTAGTTTTAATTCTTGATTGGTAAACTGAGGCTACTTCTCTTCTAATTGCTATTATTTGTGTACTTGTGCTCAGAATGAGCAATACAAAGGGAAGCAAATATTTATTATAGATTCCTTTGAATCAACAATTTAGTAAAACTGTTTTGTTGTCGTTTTTAAATAAAGATATTGCAGTATAAATACTGTTCAACCAACCTGAAACATTGTAAATACTTTTGCTAGGTAACTGAAAGCTATACTTTGCAAGTTTCTCAAATGAAACCCTTTTTCTTTTACAAGTTATGGTGTCTCCTCTCATTAAGGATCCCAGCTCAGAATTCTTAATGCACAAACCCCATTAAATAAAATCAATGAGTTGTAGCCAATGGTGAGTTTGCAACAAGACAAAAGCACTTACTGTCGTACATCTCAGGTTATCCAATTTTTACTAACTGCAGTCCAAGCTGTTTTACTCTCTGGAACAGCAAGGGATATGGCTGCAATTCACGGAAGAAAGCAGCAAAAACTGGGTGCTCCACTTTTTGCAAGCATGACCACTTTCTGCTTCTGTAACCCACCACCAGATAACAGCCTAATGCTCCAACAACCCAATGTTTTTATATTAACATTATGGTCTACTGAGGTATTACAAATTGAACAGCTGCCTCTACCAGGCTGGAAGGGCTTGTAAAACAGAGATGAGAAACTATGCTATTCAACTCTTTCAGTGTATTTGAACAGATGGATCACAGTAAGATCCATCTCCTGGATAGTTGGAAATCTGTTACTTGGGACTCTATACTGTATGCATGGCTTCTTATACATGCATAAAGAGATGGGGGCAAAGGCAAGTAAACAGTGAGACCCAAAACATTATGAGATCCTGGGCCAGCCACAAAATGAATAACCTCTTCACAACAGCAGTCACTGGTACTGTACTGGTTGTACCTTCCACACATGTCTGGATGGCAACACCCACCATTCCCAGTCAATGGCCCTGCTGGATGGGAATTCTGGGAGCTGTGATCCAAATGTCTCAGAGGGCCACCAAATTGGGGAAGGCTGGTGTAAAGTAAAATGAATTTATTTATTTTAGAGAACTTAGGATATTAGGAGGGTAAGTACTCGGAGGAGGGCTTTCTCTGTGGTGGCGCCCAATTTATGGAATGCGCTCCCCAGAGAGGTCCACCTGGTGCTGTTATTTGTTTTTCGGAGCCAGATGAAGACCTTTTTATTCAAACATTATTTTAATTGTTAATACTATTTATTTACTTTATTCTTTGGCCAGGGTGACTTAAATAAATAAACACAAAATAAAACAGTATAATTTATGATTGTGAGCCGCCCCGAGGCTTTGGCAAATGGGGCGGCATAGAAGTTCTCTAAATAAATAAATACACACACACACACACACACACACACACACACAGTCCTGTCAAGGGAAAAAAGGATTGCAGAAACAGATCCTGCAGGGCCTTATTAACAGTCATAAAACAAATCCTATCTCTAGCAGTTTAGCTACATGGAAAAAAGGTAAGACTAGCTAACACCTTTCCGTAAAACCACAGGGGCAAATCCTCCCTCTGACAATCATATTCAGATCTTTCAGTGCCAGAATGAAAACAGCTGATTTCTTCAGACTGTTAGAAGTTCATGTGTAAAAGGAAACTTCAGCATTTTAAAACTTTATTTTTCCCAGACTAAAAAGATTCTTTATTAATTAGTATAGAGATAAAATACAGATGCCGATGTAGGAAAAGCACTGAAGACATCAAAGGTACTGCTGTTGCTTCTTTCAATACTCTTGCACAAATCCTGGGAGCAAACCAGTTTAAAAAATGAGCCGTTGGAGTAAGCTTAAGCAAGCCCACTGCTTCCTATGCTCTGGCCACTTCCCCTTTGCAACAAGCTTCCTGTTTCTGGGTTATTAGTTGTAATGATGCTAACCTGATACTGCGGGTTGCTGAGGACTAAATAATCCAGAGTTTGAACCCATAGCTTATTGCCAAGGTAAACCTCTGGGTAAGCTTCAAAAAGCAAACTGCAGGGTTTAGACATCATGATTAACAGTCTGGACATCAGGTGTTCCTGGATTGCTTCTGCAAGCTGAGGCAGAGGAAGTGGCAGGTCAGCAGAAAGAAACATGCTTGCTAGTTCCTGCAGGGTCCCCCAATAACTGGATTCTTAAACGCAAGAATTGGCATTATATGCAAATGAAGTCACCACGGAGAAACAACTATTTCTACAACAACAGATACAAATATGGAGCATATCCCTTGTGCCAGCAATGCAAAACTTTCATAACTCCCTTCCATGCTCCTGAAAAACCTTAATTAGGCCTTGTTACTGAACTGTTGCAGTTAATTAAGATCATTTGTAAAGCTGAGAATTGTAAGTCAAAAAAGCCTTATTAAGAACAGAAGTGAATGTGCACATCTTACCAATAAGGATGAAAAACATTCAGAAAAATATGGAGAACTTCAACTAAATCATTTCATTTTAGTATCTTTTAAGTTTTTTCCTAAAATAAACTTAGTAGAGAGGAATGGGGAATTTCTGTCTTCTTTCACATCAGCAGGTAAGAGAGATCAAACAGGAGCACAGGGATGTCCTTCAGTTAGGAATGAACTGGAGCCAGAACTGAACAAATGTTACAATGGAATCCTAAACCTATGTATGAAGGCAAGTCCCACAGAGATCAGTGGCGTTCTTAGTAAATATGCATTGGATTGCCAGCCTCATAGTGAAATCCTATACAGAATCCTATATGGGTTTGCTTAGAAATGTGCTTGAGATTGCACCCTAAACTACAGAACTAATTTTCTTTGCAGACGCTAAACCAAAAAAGTCTGAGTAATAAGAAATGGGAATGTCCCTTTACCTCATGTAAGAACTTCACATGCCAAAAAGGCACAATGACTCCCAGGTAGGATTAAACCTTTCATCTCAGCATTATACATGATGAGAGAGAAGAGACGAGTGCACAGGGGAGAAAGCTAAATTGAGCTGAAGTTCACAGGGCTTCCAACCAACTCATAACCTGATTTTAGTGCTTGGACACAACCTCGAGCCTAAGTGAAAAGCATCTTTACACCAAGTGTATCTTTGAGCATATAAAAGATACTAATCACCAGCAACACTACAGAATGGTTTACACATGACAGGGGGGAAGACTATGAGGACATCAGAAGGCACAACACCCAGTGAAATATGAAGCCCTAAACAATTAATAATGCAGAAAGAGCCGTACTATCTCAGACCAAGGATCCATTTAATCCTGCAATTTATTCTCACAGCAGTCAACCAGATACAAGCCGAACCTCACTGGCACAACACCCTCCTGCCCATGTTCCCAAGCAAATGTGCACACTGGTATACTGCCTCTTATCCTGAAGGCAGCATGTAACCATTGGGGCTAGTAACCAGAGCAGTGATAGTGGCAGGGGATGAAAGTATGGGACTGGGACTCAAACTATATGGGTTTTACTTCCTGCTCAGCCATGGAGCAGCTGGGTGACTTCGGGCCACTTAGCCCACTCTACCTCACAGGGTTGTTGTGAAGATATGATTGTGAGCAGGAGAACTGTGTAAGCTGCCTTGAGTTCTTTGTAAAAAAGGCGGGCCGGGATATACATCTGTTAAATAAATAGCCACGGGTATCCTTCTCCTGCACGAATTTCTCCCAACTCCTTTAAAACTCCTCCAAATTGGCGGCCATCACCACCTCTTGTGTAAAGTTCTGCTGTGGGAGGATGGCATTTCCTTTTATCTCTCCTGCATCTCCCCCATCAGCCTCGTGGCACGGCTTGCTTCATTTCTAGGACGGGGAGAAACCTTATCCACTTGCTGCACACCATGCGCGCTTTTGCAAGCCTCCCTCCTGCCTGCCTTCACTCAACTCTTCCCTGAGCTGGCGCCTCCTTGCAAGACGCCCATTCCTCATTTCAGCGCCCCGCTGCCCCGTTGCACGTCCTTTGCCCGCGCCAGAGTCATAAAACCACCCCCGCCCCCATTTCCGAGGACAAAGACGGGCCTTTCGCGGCCACGGCATCGCACGCGGTGGGCCGGGAGCCGAATCGGCTCCCTCCTAGAAGGCTGCCCCGGGTAGGCGAAGCCCTGCCCGCTCCCCACCGCCTCCTGAACAGCGTGTCCTCAACGAGACCCCCACCTTGGCCCTCAGCCAGCGCCCTGCGGCAACCGAGCGCCCCAGGCCGCCATTTTATGGCGCGCTTCTTCTTCCTTCGCTCGCCCGCTCTTCCCGCTCTAGCGGCGAACCAGCCACTCCATTGGTCAGTTCGCACGCCACGAGGCCTAGCGGCCTCGTGATTGGCCAGTATCTCTCATATTCCTTCTCCTCCACTTCCCCCCCTGCATTCTTTCGCTCTTCCTCCGCTTTCTCCAGGCGCTCCCTTCCCAGCCCCCCTCCCGACGTGTATTATGCAAATAGACCCCAATCCTGTGGCGTGATTGGCTCCACCACAGAACCAGGATCCCCGTCCTCTATTCCCGGAGGCTTATGCAAATGAGGCCAGGAAGGGGAGACATCTCATTGGCGCCGAGCCACATCACGGGCGTCGGACGGCTCCCCCTCCCACGCTGGCTCCGGCGCCGGGAGGGATGAAAGTTCTAGAAAAAAGAAGAGGAAGAAGACAGGGGAGAAAGAGAAGCCGGCCGGCTCCCGGTGACTCACTCTCGCCCGCCCCTTTCCCTTGTCTTTGTTACGTCACACAAGGCGCACCTGATCTCTGAGACGATTGGGTGGAGGAGAAGAGCGGGACAGACGCGATTCGCCGGTCGGCCGGAAAGAGGCGTAGCCGTTCTGGAAGGTTCTCCAGCCGTATTTAAACTCACTGATCAGGTTAGGAAGTCGCTTTTTCTCTAGCAGTATTTGCAGTTTCTGCTCTCTTTCCTCGTCTTTTGCGCGTCTCCGGCGGAAGCAGGTAATCGCTTTAAAGATCTGGGTTTTGTAAACATGATCTTTGCTAGATCTGTTCATCAGCTGGGTTTTCTTCCTTCTGTGCTTTAGACAGAGATCTCTTTGCTACGGGTAAATCCCTTTTTATTGCTGAGATTTGCTTCCAAGTTAGCTACTTAGGATGCTGATGCTGCATTTCTGGGGCTTTTTCCTGTTTTGCTCCCCGTAAAACGTTTCCTCTAGCTCTCTTAATTTCCCTTTTCTCCCTTCAGCATCTAGTTTAGATCTAACCAGTTTAGA